GGATGCAGGGAATTGCAGTTCCCCGTGTTCGGGCGATCGGACTGCAGGTGCAAGGCGTGTCTGAGGTGCCATTCACATGAAGGGCAGCACCACGCCCCCTTCCACCCCAGAATGCGGGGAGGCTTTGTTTATGCGATCCAAGGCATTCATGGAATGGAACCATGCTGTAAACGCATTGGATGGTGTGAACAGGCCCTTAAGTGTAGTTCCACTTTTGCAGTCAAATTTGAGAAAAACCTCTCTATATGCTTGTTATGTGTATCTATTCACACAGCATACCCAAATATAATGTTAAAACACATTTCTTACCTTTTTTAGCTGTTTGGTGAAGGCGTTTGTGCGGATGCCAGGCTACTCTGAGCAGTTTGAAAGTAGAGGTACAAACTGAGGGACAGACTGAGCTTCATCCTATTAATATAATTTACTTTGCACAACCCCCTCAACATTACATAGAGGAGGCTAGGTAGGATTTTTAAGCAAGTATAAAGAACTTAAAATGTAAGCAGCAATTGTTTAGGTTTTATTTTTTGTGCAATGTGAATGGGACCATACGCTGCCTGGCCAAAAAAAAGTCACCACCTGGATTTAGCTAAGGAAATAGGTATGAGGCTTCCATTGGATAATTACTGCAGTGATTAATATGTTTTATCTGGCAAGTGGCAACAAATGAACTCAGCTGTCTACCTGAATATACTGAATGACAAGATTTTCCATCAATGGACTTTTTCTTCTCTGATGGCTCGAACATATTCCAGGATGACAATGCCAGGATTCATGGGGCTCAAATTGTGAAAGAGTGGTTCAGGGAGCATGAGACCTTATTGTCACACATGGATTGGCCACCACAGAGTCCAGACCTTAACCCCACTGAGTATCTTTGGGATGTGCTGGAGAAAACATGCAGTGATCCGACTCTCCCATCATCACTACAAGATCTGGTGAAAAATGAACGCAACTCTGGAAATAAATGTTGTGACATTGCATAAGCTTATCAAAATGATGCCACGGCGAAGTACCTTTTTTCTGTAACACACGATGCGCGGCTGTTTTAGCCACAATCGTGTTCAGAAGCACAGGCAGAATCCCGGTGGGAAACCTTGCGATCCGCCCAGTGCGACTGGGGTGCACACCTGGGCGACTTCTGACCTCGTGGCAATTCACGCCTAGGCGTGCACCGGCCCTGAGCGGTTTGTAGTGCGACTTCCGCTCAAATATGAAGCTCAATGTAGCTTTTCCAATGCATTTCAATGGAGAAGTTCACATCTTGCAGCTCAATGTCGCCCGTAGCTTGTAGCAGAGGCTTGTCACTTGAACATGAGCTATTTTCCGGTGGATTTCAAGCATTTTGGCCCCCATAGACTTTAATAGACTGCCAAAAGAAGCGCTGCATAGTGCGACAAAACGTGCACTGTAGCTCAATGTCGATCAGCTCAAATCAGTGCTGAAAAAGCTTGTAGCTTTTTGGAAAATCTTTGTAGATTAGCATAACTTGAAAGACTTGTCTCCCAATGTGCTGCCTGGGGACACATTGTTCATATGCAATGACACGAGGTGTTTCTGGCTGTATATGCAGACTTATCTCTACAGGGTCTCTTCTCCTCCCATCCAGGTTACAGGATCCATTGATAATGATATATTCTCAACAACAAGGCAGACATTTACATGTATTCCATACGGTGTAATATGACTGTTTCCATTTCTTAGGAGAAAAGATGATCCCAGCCTATTGGGGAATTTCAGCATGTGGCTGGTATTTCCAAACCTCATAATCGTATGTTACTGGTCGTAAAATAACCCCTAAATGTGACAATTACCCCTAAATGTGACAATGCTTAGATCTGTCTGAACAAAATCTAGAGTTAACCATTGCTGAAGGCTAGTTGCCTATCTGTCATGCTGACCTCCTGGCTACTTTTTGAGCTGTTGACCTTGGGCCAGGGGGTGGCCAGGCAACTAGTATTTTCAGAATGAGAAGTCAGCAATAGCAACCTCCATGACTCAAAGGTTTTACTTTAAAGGATAACTAAACCCGCAACCAAAAATAAAACCATATATTGCGACTTACTGGTCCTTGGATGTGGTAGCTGCATTAGATTTCATTTATCAGAATTGGAACATATTCAGCACTTGCAGAAGATACCTGTTGATCTTGCCAGAAACGCAGCATCCTTGCCATTGCCTATGAATTGAACTGAAAGTACAAATCATTTTATCTTCATTTTGGAAATTTCTCCACAAGCCATGTCATGGAAAAAAGAAAAGGAAGATATGGGTGATAACCATGGCTCGCTCCTTAGAGACAGAGGTGTAAGTGAACATAGCCAGCCAGGGACATGAAGTGTGTTATTCTCGGGATTACCAGGTGAAATCTAGCTCTAATTGAATTTGGTCCTATTTGGAGGTGCCTCTTTACTTCTCAGGCCACAGAAAGTATACTGGTGCTTGATTCTACAATAATAGGATATCATCCCTCTTCAAAGGACATTTGGAAGCTCCATGAAAGGTTGTATGGCCTGGCTTTATCACTAGGATGTAATCATGTTAAAGTAGAGGTAAACCCCAACCGGATGACATTTAGTTTTCATTTTGCCCTATGTATCATAAACAATTACCATTTTTGACATAAAATCTTTGTTTTGCCTTTTTTATGTCCTTTGTTGCATCTCAACAGCTACATACTGTATACATGAACTCCACTAATGGGTGCATAGCATTTCTCAGGCTGGGTTTCCAGATGGTGACAACTAGTAATGAGGCTGAACTTGGTGCTAAACCTGGTTGTCAGAGTTTACCCAAGCCCCTTCAAAACTCTGACCCACTCCTTCCGACCCAATTAGTTGCAGAGGCCCTTTGTGACGTATACCTGCGGAGCAGGGAAGACATCCACTGCAACTGCCACCACTGATTAGGTCGGGAGGAGGGGGTGGTCATCACAGCTTTGAGCGGGCTTGGGTGAATCGAGTTCACACCAACCCCAGGCTTATCTCAAGTGACAACAGTGGGCCATGGCTGTGTAATATATGGCGCCACTGCTGCTGGTGACCTGGTGACAACACAGTGGCAGAATTGGGAGACATGGACAGAGCATTGCCACCCTATAACTGGAAGAGCCTGAACAAGGACCTACATAAGGATAACCCGGTATTACTTTAATGAAAGCTGCAGATTTGAAACATTTAGAAAATTCGTAATTACATTAACATGTTAAAGCACATATGTGATTCTAGCATTTGGGTTTACATTAATTGCAGGATACTACCATGTTTTGGGATGACATTTTACTAAGAAAGTAAGTTTGTAAACCAGTTAAATACTCACAGCTGGACCAGGATTGGTGGGAAGTAGAATCGGGGAGAATATTTCTATGAACTTGTGTGTAGCTAGACGGTATCATTTGCAATGTGTGCAGGCACCACCCTGGTGTTTGCATTGCTGTGTAAACACATTACAGTGTTCCTGGAGGTAAATCCCTAACAGTAAACTGTGTGAGTGAACTCTTCTGATCAGACAATGAGCTGTGCAGTGATGTCAGCTGCTTGCTAAATCGAAACATACAACGCACTCTGGTGAAAGTTTTCTTTTAAAGGGAATGTACAGTAGTTCTGTACATATTTTATTATACTATATTATATTGTTTTTATTATTATGTTTATTTAATAATATTATTTTAATGTTTTTCTATGGTCAGGACCAAAGGAATAAACATTAATTAGTAAATGTGTATATTCATTTATAGTCGTGCAGTAGGTATATACGTCTTGCATATGAATATGTAGTAATTTATCAAACCAGCAGGTGGAGTCCCAACTTGTTGAAATAAAGGCTGATGTTTACATAGATCAATACCCAAGGCCGTCTCTTTAATGATGCAGCTTGAGGCTGTTGCGTCAGGCGATATCTCTTTGGGTCATGTGAGGGGTAGACAGGCGAAGGGGCATGCTTGTTGTACAGTGGCCGCTCTCTTGCACAACGCCACCCCCTTTCTGGCCATAGCGTCCCAGGTTGCTAAGATCAGGACGGGGAGATGTGTAAGGGCCCAGCACCTCTCCCCACCTAGCTCTTAGCAACCTGGGACCCTCTGGCTGGCGTCCCACCCAGATCCTGGCTGGGCGGAACGCTCGCCAGAGTAGTCATCCACTGGCTGAAGATTGAGGCCACTATATTAAGAAGAGGAACAAGAGAAGATGGCAGTGCTTGGAGAACAATCTCCTTCTTCTCCTCCTTCCTCCTTCTCTTTTTTTTTTTAAACACCAAGCTAGGCTTCCACCACCAAAAGCCGATATCCCGGAGTCAATTCTTACCAGAAGGCAGGCACATCACATCAATGGTGTTGTTGATAGATTTGTTGTTTTATTTAGCTCATTCTGTGCTTACTTCTGTGGCTTTAAAGGAAATCTATCATCAAAGAAATATAAAGAGCTGCCATTGCTGACCTTGTAAAAGTGATAAAAATTGACTTTCTATGGCATCAGTGTGTGGCCCCCAAGTGTCAGTGCCCTTTCCTGGGACAATATAGTTGTCTGTTTTACCTTCTGAGCTCACATTCTACAGATATAGTGAGGATCACCCCATACATAACGTCCATAGTCACTGATCTGGAACAATTATGCAGAAAATAGTCAAAACTCCTGATCTGCACAATTATTTCAGGTCTGTGCCTCAAAGTATCAAAGCCATTGGATTGATGTGACGCGCCAGGCAACTAGCATTAATATATAAAGCTTAGCTTTATTAAGAACAGAACAGCACTGCATTTTCCCTGACAGATTTCCTTTAATTATTGTTACGTGTTTTATACTGCAATGGATTACAAATAAATAAACAGTTTGGATATGCAGTCAGTCCATGTCTACAGGCGCGCTGTCCAATATTTCAAAAGGTTTTAAAAAAAACATTCAGTATACCGAGAGTGGTCATTTTTGTGATTAATGGTCTGCTATGCTAATAAACTTTGTCTGCCTTTTAATAATCACATGTTTGTATTTTTCCATTCATTCCAGAATGAAATCCTTGGCATTATTTTATCAATTATTGGAAGTTTCCTAATAAGTATATCTCTTAATCTGCAGGTAAGGAATATTGCCTAAATACTCTTATCTGATTTTCTATTGTTACCTGTAAGAATACATTTTCTCAGATGGTTTAATGGCTGTTTCTAAATGGGACTTTAGCCAAGGCAGCTACTAAAGTGCCTGGGAAATGTGACATCGGGGACAAAGACTCCTGACATAAGCATCGCTTACTGTCCGTGTTATAGTTGATCTAAACCTCAACTGGACGCACCATGTATAATAAACAATTGACATGTTTTTTGCATGTACAACTGTTTTAACCTTTTTTTTTTTTTAATCCTTTGTTGCATCTCAGTTCCTCTGATTTCCTGCAACCTTATTTCAGCCACTTCCTGTTAAAGTTCGCTTTCCATGGTCTGCTGCTCTGAACCGGCTTCCTGATGGTGACAATGGAGGACCATGCCTACCCAATGTGTGTCAGCATGGCTTCTTGCAGTCCCCTCCAGGGGTGCATGTGACAGGGTAACAATGTAGGAGCACAATTGGGAGACAGTTGTCACCCTATAAAAGGAAGTGCCTGAAGAAGGACTTTCATGGCAGGATCACCAGGTTTGTTTTTTGGGGGGTTTTTTAAGCTGCGGCTTTAAAAAAATTGAAAACCAACTTTTAAAATGACATTAATATATGAAAGCATAAATGAGATTGGGTTTAGATGCACTTTAAGCTCTCATGGATGTTGGTGAGCAGTCAGGTGTGCCAACACAGACCAACTATTGTCTGTTCAAGCTGTTCAGAGATTTCATAGAGTCGTCCCTGGTGACATTACAGGATTACTTCTGTGATTTGATATCTGGTGACACAGCGAATGTGGAGATTTTAAAAACCAGTTCCTGTTTATCTGCAATTGTAAGGTTTACCTTTTTGTTATGCAGTGAAAGCTGTTTTAGAACTAGTTGGTCATGTGACTATATATGTGGGCTGTACAAGTTTTTGAAAATTTGGCACCCCAGATTTCCCACTGCCTCTACCCCATTGGTTGGACAATGCGGAATGTGGGTTCTTCTCACTTTATTTCTGTGGCTTTTAACAACCGAACTACTATTTCCACCAGGGGACCGTCCACTTTGCCCCAGAGCGCCTCTCTCCCCATTAAAGCCCCCAACAGCCCTTTAACCACCGTAGCTCCCCAGAAGCCCTCCAGCCCTCCCTTCCGTATCGCCTTTAGCCCCTATCCTCAGAGCCCCTAGGTCTCCTCTTTCCTTTAGAGCCCCCTCCTCAAGCCTTTCACCCCCTTCTCCCCACCTTCATCCCACTGCCATGGATATGAAGGCAGTCCCCCTTGCACTGACACCACCGACGCAATGCAATTTTTTTTTCCTCTCACTGACACACCAATGCAGCAACAATAATTTTTTTTACTCTTTCCAGATGTATTTTTTTTTTCTTTCCAATGACACCACAGACAGTGGCTTATTTTCCTCACACTTATGCTGGGAAATATTTTATTAGCTTTATGTTTATTGTGGTAGAGCATGTGCATTACTATTAAACTTTTCAATGTCCACTGCTTTTCAAAAGTTCTCAAGTTTGCCCATACCTATAAATCAAATATATTTTATGGGACTCCAGTGGGTAAAAAAGATGGCAATGGAGCCCAGTAAATGTTTTTGCAATAGAGTGTGCCTGCTATTCATGAAACATTTTCTTTTGCCCTGATTGGCCCAGTTATAGATTTGCGGTAACCCCCATTGCCTCTAGTGCGTCTGGCATTGGATAGTAAGCTCATTAAGGGCCAGGCACTGATGTAATTGGTTCTGTGTTTTCTCCGTAGCGCTGGAGAATTCATTAAATATACTGCATTGTATGTGTCCTCGTCTATCAATTAAAAGAATGCTGGGAGAAAACAGTCATCAAAGTGTGTCTACATATCGGATGGCACCGGGTGTGTCTGTAAAGATACAGGCATTCAGAGAGAAAATAAAGAAGAGACAAAGGTTGAAGCAATATTTTTTTGTAAATGTATGCTGAAATGGTACAGGCAAGGGAGATGTAGGACCTCCTGAGATCATAGCGCAATGGTTAGAATCCAAGGAAAAGTCAAATAGTTTCCAGCCAATGCATTGAGTAGGTAATTGATTCTCCCAATATCTGCCTTCATTAATATCGTGTTTATGGGCTATGAAGGATTTCTTGGTCTTAGCCTGTCGGTGATCAGATAGTAAACGGTTGGTGCGGTTTGCTGTCATACAGATAAATGAGCTGGTCTCTGTCACTCATGTTTCTGTAGATTTATGTCTTAAGACATTATTTCTGCCCAGACTTGTTGTTCTTGTTTATTTTTGAGGTGAGTTTCTAAAATCTTATTCTCCATTAGTGCTGACCTGAGGGCAATTACAGAAAGCATGACCATGGAGGAGAAAAAGGTGCAGCTTTTGGGCAGACAGCTGAAATTTACTGCAAGGGGATAAATGAAATAAGCTTTATCCTGGCCATTAATGACATTTTTGTGGTCTTTCAAACACTAGTGTTGTGGAGAACGTAAATTGCACCTTTTAACAGTTTGGGTTATTTTTTTTTTTTAGCTATATAAAAAATAGAGGTGCCCTATTTTTTTATTTTTTTTATGCAAGCTAACGAGCACTTTTGACCTCATGAATAATTCTGTAAATATCAGACGCCATTCATTTTTCTGTTACAAGATTATGGTGAGGTATTGAGGAGGCTCCAGAGGAAAGGGGAGGTGAAAGGCATAATGCAAAGGTTTTGAACAGAGCATAGAAGGTTCAGCACCTTTTTGGCTGTATGTCTGTGTGCCCCTTAAGGTGATTTCCCATCACTTTTATCATACTTTGACAAAGTACACAGACATCATTTAAGATCCTCACCAGGGCACTAAGCTCTCTCTACAGCACTAATCAGTTTTTTCTTTGATGCGTCTCCATGGTGGAGATTTTACCCTCAATTCCTGCCCAGTGACGGATAGACTGAAAGTAACGGAAAGCCTCCCTTATGGGACCATAGACCACAATAAAACCTGATAGAGTTCCCAGCCTTTCACGACTCTAGCCAGAACCAAACAAACAATATAGAGGTGGAATTGGTGTTTAAATAACATGAAGAAAATGTTCATTGTACATTTTGGAAAATACAAAACGCATGCAAGCCTTCCTTGCCTAGGTTTCGGCAGCACTGCGGCTCAGTGATCAGCACGGCTACTTTTACAAGCCAGAGTCTTGCATTCAATTTAATTAGCAGTCGTTTTATCTTAAGCAAACTGATCAGTAATAATGTGTGACTGGAAATAAGTCCATGTATTATAGATTTAATGGATGTTTGTAAATGGTTCTTAATCTGCAAAATACAAATGAGCTTTCCCTTAATTTAGAGCAGCAATTTTCCAGTCACACTGCTAAATAAACACTTGAAATACTGTTAACAGGGGTGTACCTAGCATAATCGCCACCCCAGGGGAGGGGGGGGGGTTGCTGGTGGTCACGTTCCAGGGGTGGAGGTGTATTGACAGGGTGCTGGTGGTGCATGCTAATGGCGCTCTGGCCAGTATCCTGGTGGTGCACCACCCAGCTCACTGATGTCACTGGTCGCCAGGAGGTGGGTGGGATGCCAGCCAGGGCATCCCAGGATTCTAAGATCTGGGAGAGGAGATGTGTATGGCCCTTACACATCTCCCCACCTGGCTCTTGGCAACCTTGGACACTCTGGCCAGAAAGGGCCAGAGCCCCCACATAACCCAAAGAGATACCACCTGAGGCAACAGCCTCTGTCTACCTCATTATAGGGACAATCCCGACTGCTAATGTGAACTTTTAGAATCTTCAAAGACATTTTAACAGCATTCAGCCATCTTTGTGATCCTTACTTCCCCCACACACACACTTCGTACCCAAGTTGGTGACACCTTTACAGGTTTACAACTTCCAGTGTCACCTTTCTACCTCTAGTCCAGTCTACTGAATTGACAATTATTCAGCATCATTGGGTGACACAGGAAGCTGAAAAGACTTAACAGGGAAATTCTGGAGTGTTTTTCCTGGTTGCGCATTGTGACAGAAGTGTCTGAATCAAAGACTGGCTGAACAGAATTACAAATAGTTTGCAGGTTAAACAATTCAACAAATGTATGTATTCATTGTATGTACTGTATGTATCTATGTAGGTATTTCAAATGTGTACTTTGCTACTGGTCTGGATTTCTGCATTAGGAACAGTAAAATGTGTTCACTGTTGATGAAGCTGATTATTCTATTTCAGAAATACACACATGTACGATTAGCGCAACAGCAGAATCCCATCCCATATTACAGAAGCAAGCTCTGGTGGTGTGGAATCTTACTAATGGGAATTGGTGAACTGGGCAACTTTGCTGCTTATGGCTTTGCCCCAGCAACACTCATCGCCCCTTTAGGATGTGTCGCTGTTATAGGTAAGTCACCCTATTCTAATTTTTAGTTAATTTTGTACTATTTTCATAAAATTGCTACTCAACAAACAAAAGTTTTGGCATTATTAGATACACTTTAATTGAAAAGCATTGAGCAATTGTCACCTTGAAGAAGGGACCCTGCGTGGCCGGAAGCATTGGCTAATTGACGCTTATGACATGTTTCTTCAATTAATGCTTCCTTAATTCTGTTCACAACTAATAATAAAAAAAGAAATTACCCAATACATTTGTTTTCAGGTCTCGTTCACACGGGCGCCCAAGGTGTTTTTACTGCTTTCCCAACTGCCCACCTAAAATTTAACATAGCTGTCACTCATGCTTGTGCACATGCTTTATGTCGTGACCCTGGGAAATTTTAAACATCATGTCACTTTTGGTAGGTCATGCTGTTTGCCTTACGTGACAATTGCAATCAATAGAACTGCGCTGGGCACATGGTTGTGGAGCGTTACTGCGAAAGAAAATCCCCATTAAATTAAAGCATTCAGGAGGTGGCAGTACTGCCTCCTGATTGTTGGACCGCCGCTGCTCTTCCACAGTGGATGGCTTTTCAGAGGGGCGGCAGAGCATACCTGAATGAGGCCTTAACCGAAATTAAATATAGTTCTGTATCTGCAAATGTTCACCATCCCTTAAGCCCTCCATTTAGAAATAACCTTCCTGGCAAGGTACACAAAGTGCTTTTCTATAAACCTAAAGTAGATTCTGCTTATCTGTTAGGCCTCAGGGATCCAGCTTTCAGCTAGCATGTGGCCTTAAACGGTGAATGACAGACCCGTGACATGATGAACTGTTGTCATGGAGAGACTGATAACATAAAGGCCTCACAGACAATTATATAGAGGAAAACACTAGTTTATCTTGCTGTTGCTTTTATCTTTCTATTGCATGTGACTGATTTTGCTACCAAGGCCTGACAGTTTAGCCCATTTCTAAGATAATGCCTCAATTAAAAAGATGTTGAGCCTTTAATAAAATCTTGTATAGAATACTGTAGATGTCTGATATGAGATATAAAAAACATAGAGGGGAAAGGCTCTGTATGTGCGAGTAGTCGACACCAGGTTGTATGAATGGATTCACCTGTCTGGAGACTGTGGGAAGGTGTCCACCAAATTTTTCATGGAAAAGTATTATATACTCTTTAAGGGAAAATTCCACCCAATCACCTTCTAAAACTATTCTAATTATAGATTTCATCAGCTGAAAGAATGATGCCTCATGTTTTTTATGGTGCCGTTCACGGTAACATTTTGTGCACCATTATTTAGCAATGTCATTAGTAAGTTTGTGTTCTCTGTTGGGAATAAATCTTTGTAGAGTCAGTCCATTCAAGAGGGATATTTTAGTTATAGGAAGAACCTGTCTTGCTGCGTCACCTTTGTTCCAATAGTTCATAATATACTTTTTTCTTTTTGTTAAGGAAGTGCAGCAATCTCTGTTCTGTTCTTAAAAGAATCTTTGAGGGCCTCTGATGTAATAGGTAAGAAAATTTTAAAATCAACCATTAAAATATCATTAATTTTCCTCAATGAACATCCAGATCCACTTCATACAAACAAACCTATACCCTTTGCCAAAGCATTCCGCTATACTGACAGTTTTAAAGCTATGAGGAGTTGGTAAAATATTTCCAGCCTGGTCAAGAAACGTTATGATTATGCTTCTATATATATATAATTATATATTTAAAAAAAATGATTTTGCTTTGTAATAAACACTGTTCTGTTTGTATCATATCAAAATCTCACAACTACTAAGGTGCCATTCAACTTAAAGGCAAAACTGTTTTTTTTTTTGTTAAGTTTTGGATAGAGCAGTGAAGGGTCAGACCTTCTGTCAAGTTTCTGTTGCTGTCTTTGTACCTGCTGGGGATTCCCCTCTTTGTCCTGGACATGGAGACAAAAAGTGTTGGGAATTCTATAGTTTGAGTTGTCAACAGAACAGGAGGTGCGAGTAAATCATCCAGTTGGCACAATTATGACAGCTGTCTTTGATCGGAATTCCCCTTGGTTTGGTGAGATCTCCCCTTATTTCTTATTGCTTCTTCAAGATAGGAAGTAAAGAGAAATCTCCACAGCAGTCTACAGGCTGCACATTTTTTTATGAAAAGTAGTTCAAAAATATCCAAATAAAAGATGCATGCAAGTTATATTAGTGTTGGGGCAGAAGTAAAAAAAAAATGTAAGGTGGTCAGAGATGATCAGCTTGGGCCCTTTCACTCATGTAAGGTATTAGATAAAGGTGACTGTCACACAGTCCATAGGCCAATGTTGGCCTCGTGGCAGTTTTTTTCTCTGGCCTGGCAACCAAACCACTTGGTCAATTTTGTTTGGCCAAGAGCATGATTTTTTTTCTTCACGAAGTGTCACAAATTAGATTAATAAGAATGGTGGGCAGTCTGAATGAAGAGTGTGCTGCTAAGGTTAGGACTCGGCATTGCTTATTCTGTGTAGCTGTTTGAGAAGGGTAGGCAGTGCTCTCCCTCCCTCCCTCAATTCATTATCACCTACAAACTAGAATTTAAAGACAGCCCCTGTGAGATAATATAAGGGAAGGGGATGCATCATCTGCCTATTCCTACAGTTTTGTGTGACATTTCAAATTATGCTGTTAGTGGGCGTTCGTTTTGGAATTTGTTTCAGTGACTCTGGAGGGCAGCAAGTATGGCATTTTTTACTGTGACTACAATGGGCAACCCAGTGTAGTTTTTTCACTAGTATACTAATGAAGAGTTTGGTAGCATTCCTCTTGATCCTTGAGTAAGGATTGTGCCCCTTGAAAGGTTACTTGTGCATAAATGCATCTGATAAAATGTATGTTAACACAACAAGACCTGCTCTGCTAATTGTCCTTTATCAGATTGAGAATTTGATGTAAACACCACCCAGCATTCTTTGGAATATTTTTGAATTCTTTGCCCACTGTTTAAGCTTTGTGACTTCCTAAATCACTATTGTAGCAGTGATCTTGTATTAAGCTCTTTGATTGCCATGACATTCTATATAGCAGGGATCTCAAACTCAATTCACATGGGGGCGCTTGCCAAATTTCATAAAATGTCATACTTCAAAAAAAAAATGTCGCTATATACGGTAGCAGTGTTAATATCTGCGTGTGTTGATAATGACCGTATCTGTTTTGTGATGGTTTCTTTGTATGCCATGTCAGTATATTTTTTCTGATGGTTTGTGTGTGTGTGTTGTCCGGATTTATGTGAGTGATGTCAATATGTGTGTTAATGTTTCTGTGTGTGTCATATCCGTACATGTATACATGTGTGTGGTTTTTCCCACACTAACAGATTTACACACTCACTCGCACAGAGAAATACGCGCACAGACAAATACGCAAAAAAATACCCCCCCCCCCAACACACACACGGAAATACGCGCACACATAGAAATATGCACACAAACACACAGAAATACATGCACAATAATACACACCCACAGAAATACCTGTGGCCCCATTCATACCTGTAAGTTTATGTGCAATTAGGGATTCTTGCATCAGGAACTTGCGTTTTCCGGCAGCAGGAATCCCTAATCTGCCGTTTACATGTCAGCCAATCAAGTTAATGATCAGGTGACAGCTGCTGCATGTAAACGCCAGCACACCGCATGTAATCGTATGTGATATGATTACATGCGGTTAGGAATCGATCAGTATCCCTGTACGCAGTGATTGTGCATCCAGGGATAGTGATTGCTTTCTAACACTCACAAAGAAATACACAATAATGCACACCCACATAAAATAAAAGATAGAACTACCTCACCTGTTTACATTTTTGCAGGCAGGAGGCACAATCCCTGGTGGTTCAGTGGTTGATTAGTAAGGTCTGCACCTTTTGGCTGGTGCAGACCTTACTAATCCAACCTTTCGGCTGGTGCTCAGTGAAGGCTGTCAGAGCACCGGCTGAAAGGAACTGAATGCTGGCACCGCCAGCAGCAGCTATGCGGTCTGCATCTGACTGATGCAGGCGGTGTAGCTGCTCCCCCAAGTCAGGTACACAGTCCGCGACTGCTTGCCTGGCTTATCAGCCTGCTGCGGGCCACATGGTGCCGGTTGGTTCTATGAAACCCCTGATAGCATCTGCTAGGTAAAGCGGACCTTTACCCCCTCGCATTAAAAATTACTTTACCACGCCACTCTGCATGCTGATATGAAATCACCTTACAGTAATTAAACACATTTTTCTTGTGCTTACAATTACTGTTTTTCTACTTCCTGGTCCTTTTGGGCATTAGTGTTGCAGCCTGTGCCCAAGCGTTGCATCCTGGGAAGGTTACATCACAGTGTAATGCTCGGAAATCTCATCTTAATCTCGCAAGATCTCAGCGAAAGGCATTTTCCTCCCCTGAGATAATGTGCATGGTCACATGTCCTGGTCACATGTGCCAGAGTTCCAGAAAGTAAAAGGACATATATTAGGGTTTAGTTTTCAAGACAGGACTTAATTAGTACCAGTGGTGATGGCAGGCAATTTTTAATGGTTTATTTGATTCTTGAAGGACTGAGCTTGTATCCCAGAGTGACTTTAGTACAGAAAGAGTTGAAAAGTCTTCCCTGACCTTTGCCCCCCTTCCTTTTTAATTAATAATCACAAACCTTATCAAAAGCCTGTTGTTTGTTTGTTTTTGTTTTTTAGCTGCCCAGCACTGGCCCTCCATGATGATGCCGCAAATAGCTCTCTACACTATATCAGAAAGGACTATTAGATGCATTATAAATTAAGTTCAAGTCTTTCCAGTGGTCCTGTTAGTGCAAATATAAAAAAATTAGACCGTACTCAACTGTATTGTTACTGCAAAGACATTTTAGACAATTTTGCACTTCCAACCTGTAGCAATAGTTTTGATAAGGTATTTTTCTGTACCAGCATGGCTGCGCCCCAGCACACAAGGCTGGGCCAGTTTTTCCGAGTTTGATGTAAATGAACTTGAGTTCTTCTTATCAAACATCAGTGTCTTATTGTGTATTGTGCAGAGCCTTCCCAAAGGAGTGGAGGCTTTTATAGTCAAATAGATAGGCCAGCTCCATATTAGTGGCCATGCAAACTCATATATTGAATGCCCAGCAAACTCGTATAACTAGGTGATGGTCAGGTGTCCAGAAAAATATGGTCATATAGTGTATCATAACTGGAGGTAACAAATGTGTCCTTGCTGCTGATAGTAACTGGCTAGAAATTGACATTTATCTGGTTGCTTTGGGCAACACTGATATTTTTTTTCCAGGATTTTATCCATCTGTTATAAGTGAGCACACTTGGTTATAGTGGTCACCAAATGACTACAATTCATTTAGTCCATCTGCTTTAAATGTAATGAGGGCTGCCATCAAAGTTTTAACTTGCTACAAACATTTTTTTAATAGGATTTTTTGGTTTCTTCTTATTTTATATATAGCTGTTTTGCTCGCGTTTGAAGCAATAATGACACCTACAGGCAATCAAAATGTACAAAAACGTGTACTAGAATAATATAAAACATTGTAGCAGAATCACACAGAATGAAACGCTCCATAAAGTGTTAGATCTAGGAAAGTGCATCATTTAATTATTTCACAACTGTTTGTAATTTTGTGTTTTTTAAGCCAAAGATTTCATAGTGATGCATTGCTAGCATTTGAAAAACAATTGCTTGAATACTGAGAAAAAGCTCATAAAAGGGATTTGCATGCGTAGAAGAGAACAGAATGTTAAACACTTCTTCTTATTATCCCAGATGCAGAATTAGCAAAACGCACTGTGGTTCTAAAAGATCAATAACCACCCATTGGACAGAATAGAAGTCACCAGGTCTTATGTTACCTGACTCACAAGCCTCCGATGGACGTTGCTACATTTTCTGTACTATTGATCAGAAGGGGCCTCATTCCCTGTGAATCTAAATAGGTTGAACATCCATGTCTGGAATCTGAGTTAGGGAATGGCTGATTCAATCGGAATCTTCTTCTCTCTGTTCCTTGGCCTGACCTACCTTGGTCAATGTAAAATGATGGGGTCTTTTTTAGGATTCACTCATCCTTTTAACCCTTTTATGATAGAGGTCATAGATGCCTAGTTGTCCAGGCCAAATTTACCAGCATCAGTATGCCTCGGGTAACTTCACTATTAGCCCTAGTGCAAAGTTGCCTGCTTACATAATGTTTTTTTAGGGACATATATAGCTTTTTTGGGAACACTGTTTTAATAAAGACACTGCTCGGATTTGTTGTTATGATCTGGCAAATGGGGAAAACTGTGAAAAAATCCAACTTATACTTTAATATTTTTAAAAACTTTTTAATGAATACAATAATTTTATTGTATTTTATTTTTTACAGTCTCTATATCACTTTACCAGCTGCAGCTTGCCAGATGCTTCTGTCAAGGTGCCTCTGTCTGTGCAAGTTACAATGACGGCTGAGACAGCCACCTCCAGCTTGTTTAAACAAAACCACGTGATCACTATAATTAGCTGTCATAGTGATCAT